GAATTCTGCTCTGTGTGCACAGGATGCCCTGCAGACCTACTGCAAATGCAACCGTGCAACTCACCTACCAAAACTGCCCTTCAAGGTCCTCTCAACAGAGCTGACATTTCCTGGTCAAAGTTAGGATACATTTCCTGGCCCAAACTGTATTATCAGTGCTCGAGCATACCTTCCTTTCTAAAGAACCTCAACCCCATTTCTTTATTGCAGACTGACTGGTAATAAATTATTTGTGTTTTAATAATAAAAAAAAGTTTGGGTAACTAATCTGCACTCAGAAAAAATGAATGGCAAGTGAACTGATTTACTGAAAAAACTTAGAACATTATTAATAAAGATGAAAAAAAAAATTAAAGCAATTTTACAGCACATGATAGTGAGATAAAACATTTCATTCCAAATGGATTTTCACTCTGGAAATGTGAAGGGAAACAGATTTAAAGCACCTAATACATGATTCAGTGTGTTTTTAAAACTACTGGCTTTTGTTTGGTTTTTACCATCAAGTGTATATATATAGCTAAAATATGTATGCAGAAGGCATCCAGCCGATGCATGTCACAACTAAGTCACTCCTAGAAATGAGCAGTGATGCCTACTTACTCTAAAAAATATATACAGTTAACTTCTGAAACACTTAATGGGTCTACTTATCCCTTAAATCATAAAACCTCCAGTTACACCAGTTTTAAATAAAACTGGGAACATCTGATGATTGGCTGAATACTTAAGGGCTAAAAATCTGAAAGAAACTGAGACCTACTATTTCTATTGTTGTTTTACTTTCATGCCAAACAGACTTCTAACTTTTTAACTGTCAAGCAATCACAAAAGTCTCTTATTTACACCACCAAAACAAATGAATCCTGGCCATCCTTTCAAATCCTGCAAATGCACTTAGACTGCCAACAAAAAGAGGAATTTTGAGTGGGTTGTTTTGTGTGGCTAGGAGTTAATTAGCAATCTGGTTAAGTACATTACAGATGTATCAGCATTAGCCATGACAGTTCATGGCAGTGCTTTAGCACAGGCTTGTATTTCAGGAACTGAAGGGGCAGCCTGCAGGATTGCCAAAGCCAGATTACAAACAGAACTAGAAACACAGTACAGCAAAATACATCCTCACAAAACTCTGTGCAGCACCACGTTAGCTATGTGTAAATACACTTAAAATATGAGCAAACCAACTAACTTGCAAATACAGACCCATCTTCCAATTCTAGAAAAATCTGGCATCAGAAATTAAGTCCAAGAGTATTAAGCAGGTAATTTTCTGCTCAGGTGTATACAGAGGGAAACATTCTGCAGACAGTAAAATACAGACCGAGGTAAGCATTACATAGTTTTAAGTGTAACTCTGATGTCAACATTGCAAATTGCAAAACCTGCTGGAACTGTAAATTCCCTTCAATACTGAAAATTTCATTTATTTAACAAATGTTATCTCGGTGGAGCAAAGTACAATCCCACTATACAATTAAAATACAGCCACGTAGCCCAGAACATTTTAGCAGACGAAGTCACTGGAAGCATTTACTAATTTAATTCAATTTGGTTTTGAGCAACTGATCAATGACCCCTGGTACACAGAGGGACACAAGCAAAACCATATTCCCTTAAGTAACTACAACTAAGGGCAGATCAAGTTACACTTGGGTACAGGCAAAACCCCACTGTGAGATGGGTCACAAGGCTTCCTTCCCTCCTCCCTAGAAAATGTGTCCATGGGGAGACACCTGGCTCAGCCTCCTCACTGCGTGCTCAGAACAAGAGCGATGCACACCTCAAGTTACAGGAATCTGCACTTCAGAGCTGAACTCGGGCTCAAGAAGAGAATCCACTTGTTTGGATCATAGTGCGTCCTAGGGATCCATAAGCTAAGCATAAACCTTCCTCCCATCTTTTGGGATTTTTGTGACACAAGCCATAGGGATAAACTGCCCAATTCATGCTGTCTTTACTAGGTGCACTGAGGAGATAAAAAAAACCAAGCTACCCCCAATTAATGCTGAGCAAAACAGCACTGCTGGTGAGCTGCAGAGATGTGCAAGAGATGTAGCAGCAACATAGGAAAAGAAAAAGAAGTGGGTGAGTGGCAAGGAAAGGCTGGCCCGGGGTGCTGTGCTCTGTACATACATGTCAGAGGATGCAGGAGTTACAGAAGAAATCACGGGAAGCACAGATCACGAGGATGGCCAAGGAAGCAGGTACAAGTCAAAATGCAGACAGGAAAAGAGTAACTACAGGAGCACCAAGACGGGTCCCACCCTCCTCATGAATATTTGCATTCTGGCCATTGTAAGGTCTGAAGATGGAAGAATTGCCCTGATTATCTGTGTGTGCAGAAACCCATCCCAATTCAGCCAAGCCCTCTGGAAAACAATTGGCTTCACGGGTGCCTGCTAACGACTCCCCAAAATGTTAACAGCGCTTCTCAAACACTCCGCCTAAGCCGAGCATGTGTTAATCCAAAACTCTTAAGCGAAGACTCACGTGCAATAGCAGGGGAAGACCAAGATGGGGAAAACGAAGCCATGCTGAGCAAAGGAAAGCCGAGGAACCCTCATCTTATCCCCGTGCCCATCCACAGAGCTGCAGGAGCAGTCACACAGGCAGCAGCCAGCACCTGGAGCTGGCCACTGCTCAAACTCCTGACAATTCCCTCCTCCTGGACAGTACAGGACAGCAAAATGTCCACCGAGCTGAAGCAGCACACAACTGGAGATATTTTAAATAAAAAGCCTATTTTACAGCCTAATTTGGCACCCATTACCAGGGACTATTCATCACTTGACGACCGCTGTGCCTCTCTCCTCTGAGAAAAGCATCAAAACTACCTAAGAATGAAGACAGTGAAGTCAGTGTGACTTTCTACCTACAGTACCTTTTATACTCTTTTACGCATTTACTTTATTTTAGCCTGTAATATAAAGCAAAATTACTCTTCCTCAGATAGGTTACTACAAATTAAATATTAATTACGGTAACAGTTTAAGTAAATTATTAAATCAATTTGAAATACACTTCTCAAAACTCTTTCAAAATGTTTATTTTTACATCTCATTTAAGCTGCAATCCAATACCAAAGCAATCATCTGTTATTTGACCAATATTCCTGAGGTTCCTTTTCTGCAGTGATACAAATCGCTTTTGACACAAACACAGCTTGAAAGCTCAAGGCATTAATGCAGAAATACAAAGAAACAAGCCATGAGAACACGGCTACATCGTACTCTGCCATTCTAAAGCTGTATGGCAAACGCACAAAGCTAACAATTACTAATTCATTTTTCAGGTACCATCACCTAGAAGCTACAACAGAAATATCCGGTATATAGTGTGCAGAGACAGCTGATAGACAACATTTGATGCACCACCTCAATTAAACAAGAAAAAAATGTTTGATTTGAAGGACTGTAGGGTTGCAGTTCCTGTGTCACTGGATTAGAAATAACATTCCTTACAAATACTCCTATCACTCTGCATGTGATGGCAAAAGCAACTCTCTGATAGTTCAAAACGAAGCCTTAAAAATTTAAAACTTAAGCAGAGCTGCTCAACCGCAGTCTTCTTTTAAAAGAAAATTTCAACTTGCACGTAAGTCAAGTCATTTTATCTGGATGAAAAAGCACCACAAATAAGGCCTTATCAGAAAAAAAAAAATAAAAATCTTTGCATTATTGCAGGCCATTTTTCTAGAGGAGTAGATTCTCATTTTCCCGTTCTATCAGAATTTCTAGAGGAAAAAAAAAACGAACGGCAGGAGCAACGATTAAAAAAAAAATTGAGGGCGGGAAAAAAAAAAAAGAAAGAAAAAAAAAGATTAAAACGCTTTTGCGTTTTGGCGAGGTGAGCGAGATGCTGTAAAGCAGCGGCGTTTCAGGAGGCCGGACGGAGGCAGGGCCCTCTCCCGGGAGAGCGCGGCCAGGCCGCGCCGCAGCCCCGCGCCTCGGGCAGCATCGGCGGCGCCGGGCACTGCGCGGGCCCGGCCAGCGCGGCTGCACTGCCGCTCTGCGCCCCACAGCATCAAACACCGCCTCTGGAACCGTACCGGCAACAAAATACATGTGTTTTTTAAAAAAAGGGGGGAAAAAAAAGAAATTAAAAAAAAAACCAAACAACGGGGAAAATGTAAAAATATATGAGCCCCCCCGATTTAGGCACGGCGGGCGCGGGGCCCGGAGCGCCCCGGCCTGCGCCCCCCTCGCCCCCCGCCCGTGACGCAGCGCCGAGCGGGCCCGGGGGGGCGGCCCGGGGGACCCCCGCGGGCCCGGCGGGCGGGGAGGGGCCGGGCGGGCCCCGCCGAGCGGAGCGGCTTTATCGCCGCGGCTCTGCCGCTCGGGTCGGTGCCGCCCGCGCCCCGCTGCCCCTGCCCGCCTCCCCGAGCACCGCCGGCGGGTGCGGCGGGCGCGGCGCGGCGGCCCCGTCCGGAGATGGCGGAGGGAGCATAAGGCACACTGGGTAAAAGCACATTTATATACGAACCTCGCCGAGAAATTTTCCAACAATTCCTCCGTCCGACCACCATGCACCAGGACAGGAAACGGCCGCTCGGCGCCGCCCGCCCGCCCGGCACCGCCCCGCGCCCCGCGGGCGGGGCCCGGCAGCGCCGGCTCCGCCGCTCCCATTGGCCGCGCCGCTCGCGCCGCCGCCGCCGCCGCCCGCCATTGGCCGCCTCAGGGCCGCGCGGCGGCGCCCATTGGCCGCGAGCCCGCGGCTCCGCCCCGCAGCTTCATGGCGTCGCGGCTGTGCCGGGCGCGGGGCCGCCGCCATTTTGTGCTGCGGGTAGCGAGGCGCCCGCGCGCCAGCGGGGAGCGGCGCCATTTCCTGCCCTCCCCCGGCCCGGGCCGGCAGCGCCTGAGGCGGCGGGCACGGGGAGGGGACGGGCAGCGGCCGCCGGGACCCCGGGGAGCGGATCCGGCTCGTCCGGGGCCGTCCGCGCTCCCTTGGGCCCCGCGGGGCCGCATGGCCGGGCCGGGGACAGTGAGCGCTGTGCCCTTCCCGGCCTCCTCCCGCATTATCTCCGGCTGCCATTCCAGCCCGCCTCTGGGGGAGAAGGACGCTGTGCTTAAAGCTCTGCTTGGGAGTATTTCATCGTTTAGGTATGGCAGCGTGTAATAAATAGTCCAAAAAGCTCCAAGTCTGAGGCAAGCAAAGCGTATTAAGGTTAACTCCATAAGTGATTTTTCAGAAAACCCTATTCTGCAGTTGACGCGAATTATGCCCATTGATGGGACAGTAAGCCCAGCTCTGATGGACTTACTGCGTCTTCCTGAACATGAGAAACATAAGAGCATTTATGTTTTGCTCCAGAGTAATACTTCGAAATTCTTGCAGTCCAAAATCATTGCAGTTGTACAAAATGCCAAAAAAATTGTTACTCCCAAACAGGCGTAATGGCCAGCAGATTTTCTCTTAATGAACCGTTTCCTAATTTTAAGTTTTAAGCCAAGTACAAGCTGCAGTCATCAGTTTGGGTCGAGGTACAGCAGCAGCGAAATACCCAAGACAAAATTCTATTTCTGATGTGCCAACTCCCCTTAAGAGATTATTTATTAACATCTCTTTAAAATACTACAATCTCTGCTTCCCATTCTGAAGTGCTTTATGTTTCCAGCACCAACAGTTTGCTAAAAAAGCAGAAATGCACAAACCAGTGCCACACCATTTAAGATAAAACTACATATTGATTGCAAAGTAACTGATAATTAGCAGCAGACAAAGCTTTTCCAGGTGGCTCATTCTGGGTATGTAGAGGGTTCCACAGAGAAAAAAAAAAAAACATAAAACTTACCACGTATCCATTACTAGGCATAATTAAAATCACCTGCATGTTTAGTGGCAGGTAGTCAGTAATTACTCCACTGCAGATTTGGTAAATCTTGCAGTAACAGTCCTAGGCTACGGGAGATTGGAACAGAGCTTTGCTGTACTATGCTGATACATACGAATAATTCGTTGAAGATAATGATAAAAAAATATATATTTAATTAACCCATTATGGCAGCATTTTTTAAAAGTGCCTATTTTTTCTATTTAACAGTTGAAGAGAGCTCTGGTTGTGCCTAACATTTGTTTGGAGAAATATTTTGGAGAGGGAAATACCAACCTGAGAGCTGTTCAACTCAAGCAGGACTCTACTGTAAGGATACTGCTACATTCAAAACACCACACTGAAATAAGTGAAGATAAGGATTTGCTTTAGATGTTTATTAATCCAAGGAGATCTTCCATAATAGAAAAAAACAGAGGCTTCAAATTTCCCATCTCTTCCTTTAGAGTTGCATTATCCTTGAAAATGGAATGGATAAGTGCAAGTTCTAGGAGGAAGATCAGTTTTTAATTTGACATAAGTGTATCACTGAAATTGATATATTGCATCACAAAATGCGCTATCACCACCAACAACAATGCAAAATTGTTCTGCAATTTATATAAATACATTTCTTGGAGCAAAGGAAAGCAAAGTTCTAGATCCATTCTTTAAAAAGATGCTCCTTGCTAACCAGCCTAGTGACACATAAAAGCACCCTTGAAGTAAGACTGTATTCCTCACACCAAGATAAAATTCTTCCCTCGATTTGTGACTTGAAAAATAGAATTGTTCCAGAACTGACAATGGCACTAAAATTGGTGATTTCTCCCTATTTTTTTGTCATCTGCTTTATACACGAAGCCTTCTCACTGCTGCTGTCGTGTCTTCTGCCACGAGGCCCAGAATGGCTCATCTGTCCTCAAAGGTTCTCACACATTTTTAGGATGTATACGAGGGTAAGCAGATACCCAAACAAACAGATGTTCAGAAATGATTTGTCAAACTGGGTGTTCCCAAGGAATGCACAGGAAAAGGCATGCTGGAAGTACATTGGTCAGCTTTTTCTACAAAAATAAAACCCTGTCTAGAGATTCCCTGGGGCCAGAGGACACCTGGACATGCCTGTGAGGTACAGTCACAAAGCCCCAGGTGAGGTCTGCTCTGTGCATCACCTGAAGATGCACAAGAGCTGCCCTGGCTCTCACACCACCACCAGGATGGATATTCCCATCCAAGGCTTCATTATTTATTTCACCTCAGGTGCTTTGCATTTCAGGTGTCCCATGGGTCCTGGGGTAGGGCTCTGTGTCCCACCTTGGCCCCCCAGGTGTGGGGAAACGTTTCTGGAGTGGAGAGGTTGGAAAACCCCTCCTGCTGCCTGGGAAGTGCCAGCACCAGTGGGAGGCAGAGTGTGGGGCTGGGCAGCTCAGCAAGGAAACCCCAAAGCACCACCAAATCCTGCTACTCTGCTGATGCAAAAAACCACACCACACAGACCAATTTTCTGAAGACTGCATTTTGAGTATCATAATATATATATATGTGCATTTCATTTTTACAGATAAAAACTCAGTTTATTTTTAACCTGTATTTAAATTTTGGAGGCTTACATTAAATTAAGGTAGCTTGTTTAATATCAATTGTAACAGCAGGTGACATTTTTATATAAAAACAGCCTAAAAAAAAAAAAAAAAAAACAACCCAAACATTTGATTTAAAAGACCTGACACCAATGATCTCAAGGCAAGATCAAATGCCAATGGATTTTGCTTTTAAAAAAGAAAAAGGGGGCATTTAAGCCAACCCATTCACAGCCTCTCCCTGCTGGCTTCTTCATACAGTGGTTTTGATAGTGGTCCCAGAGGGAACTGTATTTTGCCTCTCTAGCTAAAATACTAGTTACTATAGCAACTTCGAAGGAAGAAAATTGTGGCTTCAAAAACTGAAAGATTGGCAAAACTTCAAATACACTGTCTGGATCAGGCAGACAACAGCACACACTAATGCTGTAAGTGCAAAAAGAGGGGGAATGAAATGCAGGAGTAGTGCACCTGCACTACCATGAGCTGGGAAAAAAAATATTTTGCACAACTGGGGAGGGGGAAAATTGCATTTATATACCATAGCCCAGATCAGCCAATGACACTGTTGTTTTTAATAGATTGCATATGTAGATGTTTCACCCATACACTTCAATTGACCTTAAGAACTTCACAATCTCTTTTACCTGCCTTAGAGAGGATAACTTTTCTTTGTGCTTACAGTACACATTTGTTCAATTTTCTAGCTTGTACAGTGAGATCTTTAAAAAAAACAAACGACACGGAGGGTGTTGCTATTTTTTCTTTAGCAGCAATGAAATATCACTAACCCCTTTTTACATATCCGAATTCAAGTCACAACCAGAGGTGACTGCACCACAAAGTCACCAGGTACAAAACTGCTAGTTCATTTTAAATTAATAACTTGAAATTATTTTCCCCAATACATCCCTTATTTTTTTTATTTTTATAAACAGCAAACATTTTGCTATTTTTGTACATAGGCTAGCAGGCTTGTTTCAATATGAAAGTGCTAATTCATTTACAGATTTATCAGTTATGTAGTGCTACATTAAGTGTCCAATATTCTACATATGAACAATCTTGATAAATGGAAATGATGAAGATTAAGTAAGGCTATCTGATTACCTTATCTTATTTACATTAAAAGAATAGACACCCAGTAGTAGGGATAAAAGGGAAAGAAACTGGGCAAATACTCATACTGCCACAGGTGTAAAAATTAAGTCTGCCTTCTAGCTTGTACTGTAAATGAGACATTTTAAATAGTCCTGCAGCCCATGTCTGGTTTATTTTCCTCAGAAAAAGAAAAGCTGCCTTCATGACATCCCCTCTTGATTTCCATTCTCCAAAGTGTGTCATTTGAAGCTTTAAATTCAGATTCTTCCTATCTTCAAAAAAACCTCTGGTTTGCTTTCCAGTATCAGGTCGTATAATCAGGTCCCACTTCTGGGGCTTTTGTCCAATCTATTTATAAATTAGTTTAGAGTGAGTTGTAGATAACATGAACCAGTTCTGGAACCACTATTGGGAGGAACACAAGCTCTTCACTACAATCACACAGTAGCAGGAAAAGTGATAATTCAATTCATTCCTGGGGCAGGGCCTCCAAAATTAAATGAAGTTGGCACAACTGGAGCATTGAATTTGTATCCTCCATGCTTTTCAATCATTTTGGATTCTAAAACAAAACAAAAAAGGAAGAAGTTTTAGTGTGTGTGTAGGGGAGAAGACAGACCATGATTCTGTGCCTGACCACCTTGAGTCTCTCAGAGATACAGGTTTGACCTGGGGTTACCCAGCAAAGGAATCAGCATGCACAAGTGGAAAAGAGCCAGGCCCCAAAGAACAGATGGGCTGACTGTTTACTTATTTTAACTTCTCAATATTGTTATCACCACACTTAGATGAATTTGTACTTTAGAAAGCCCACACTTGAGCTTTTGGACACGACCGTAATTTAGAAACAGGGTCTGAATGAATGCTGTACTTATAAACTTGGTAACAGGCACACAGTTCTTTCTGGTTAACATCAACAGGCTTTGCAGTCAAATCAGTAACAAGAGCACATGTGCAAAAAAGCAGTACATAGATATTGGCTAAATTTTCAGTGTTCCTATCTCAATTCAACAATGTAAGCAGAAACCACCACTGAAGCACCAGAAAAAGCCTTTTTACACATGCTGCTACCCAAGCAGGTAATTTGGACTTTAGGTTACTAATTCTGAGAGAAAACTACCAAGTTGATCACTTTTCATTTTCAATCAAGATCTTTAGACATCTGAGGTCCACATATCCATCACTGTAACTACCAGTGATAGTTAAGGTTTTACCAGCCTTCAAACACTGCTGTAGGACAGGTTTTATGGTAAAACAGGTTTTTACAAGCTCTAATAAATGGACAACTGAAAATCGCGTTGGTAATTTAGGTTGTACCTTTACTACAATCTAGATAGTGCAGAAAGTGGTTTATATTATTCCCAGACCAAGATAACTACCCTTATGAATGTCTTATGTTGGTCTTAGAGCTTTCTCCTAAATCAAGCTGTTGCAATCTCTCTGGGAATACAGGACAGCTCATATTATCTAGCAAATCTGCATTTTGGCTCTGTTTCTTTGGAAACAGGCCAGAAAGATGTTGCTAATGGAGCATGGTGGGAGAATCCCTCACAGCTCCACAGAACAGAATCTCTCAGCTTATAGAAATTCTTCTAAGCTACATTAATAAGGGACAACTGTATTTCAAATTTCAAATCCTTCAAACAGGGTGTCCCCATGTGTGGTAAATGGCCTAAATGTAGTATCAGTGTGCTCTGATAGTAGGCAAAAATTTCCCATAAGGATCTGGTTAAGTTAAACTTCACAACTTCTCTGAAAAAACAGCACAAAGCAAACAAATAAATAAATACACACCTCTAACTTGTCTCCATAAAATGCAGAAGTACATAATTGAATAACTTACTGTCTATTACATGACAGAGGTCAGAGTGAAACTATTTTATAACCATTAAACTGGGATCAGTCTGAGTACAAACAAGCTTTGTGAGGTGATTTAGGCTGTTCTCTCATAAAAACCACTTATTAAATGTGTATTGTTACTACCGATCTTTTTATAGAAAAATTTATGAATTTCTGTTTTGAAACATCTGTAGCAATTGCTCACTAAGACAGAGGATATGAGGCTGGACTGCTCCCTCAACATTGACTTTAGTGTGATATATATTGGCTTTCACTCTAAAGGGAAAACTTAGAAAAAAAGATAAAACTTCCAACAAATTATAAAATCTGTATTATCTGTAATATTTAATAGGCTTAATGACATGGCTTTACAGCTGGTACTACTTTCATAATTTAGTATTTTCCTACCCACAGAATCCTTCTCTAGCCCAGCTGGACTCCTTCACATCTCAGGAAAGAATTTATCACCATTTGATGTGTTTGTTAACATACCTGGAGTTCATCTACCTTCAGGTAATCAAATCAATTGTTTTCAAATCCAAGCAATTAGGACAAATATACTTTTATTTCCTTGGCCTCCTCCCCAAGTGTTTCTACCATTCCTCCCACCTGTATATTGCCACCCAGTTTGTGCATTGAGGCTTTGTGACCTGACAATTTTAAGAGATTTCCAACAACCCTATTTTGCAGGGGACATTATCAGGCTTGAATGATAGGCCATTTCTGTATTATGCTCCTTGAGCACCCGCAGGGCATTCCCAGAGCAAAAGGAGGCATTGTTGGTATGAAGGGGTGCAAATACCGTGTGCTGCCCGCCGCTGATCTGCCAGGGTCGCTATGTCCTGCAGCTGCTTCCTTTGTTCTTCGTTCAGGCCCTGTGTCAAAGCCTGGTACCACACAGGGTTACGGTTCTGAATTGCTGCAGCAGAAAGGAAAGTGTTGATTAAAGTGTTCTACAGCTCAAACCTTACTCACTCACTGCCATTTTAATCAGAGTAATATTCTCTTACAGTTACATAATTCAAGACATTTAAACATTATCTGACCTCTTCCCTACCACTGTAAATTCATTCAAGCATCTCCCTCTGCTCTGAAAGTTTAATGATGGCATCTCCTTTCCAAAGAAAGGAATGGTTCAAGCACGTATTGGAAAGCCTGTTGGGAAGTTTTGAACAGGTTCTAGTTTACAACGGTGTACACCAAAGTTGAAATGTAACTTGTTGGCCAGGAAAAGAAATACAGTTACTTACTCTGAAAAATTGTTTTAAATATCTGATATTCATCAATAGGGTTGTCTTCATCATCAATAATTGTGGAATAGCCTTCCAAAGCAGTCTCTTCAGCATCATCTTCTTCCCAGTCTTCATCATCTCCATCTTCACCTGCCTGTTTTGCTAGAATTTCTAGATATTCTTGACCATCTTCATCAATGTCATCTTCATCACTCCCCAGCTCCTCTGAGTTAATTATAAACAAAAAAAGGTTTATCGTGAGAACAGCAAGAACAATTCTTTAGAAATGTGGCTAATTAGATAAAACAGGGAGTGGAAGTGGTAACAATATATTGCAGGCTGGAAAGGAGGGAGCTCATTTAACTCAGCCCTGGAAGTCAGTTTTTAAGAGGGAGTGGAAAGTAAGTCAGATATACTTAAAAGTTGTCAAAAGATGTTCCATGTTCTACTGCAGAGCTTCGGGTTTGGAATTAGGGTACTCAGAAGAATTCCACAAAGGAACTCAGTATCTCCATCAGAAAAAAATGAACCATACAAAATAACATCAAAGGTTCCATCTCCATACCTGTTTCCTCATCTTCTTCAGCTTCATCATCATCATCACTGTCATTTTCATGCTCTGCATGACAGGCATATGCTCTTTTCAATCCATTAAATAAAAGGATAAAAGCTGGCAGGATCTGCCCAGCAACTTGATTTAAAACCTGTGGTATTTGCTCCAGATCAATAAGAGCACACAAGCCAAGCACACACATCTTTCTGTCATGAAGTCTAAAAACAGAAGAGTAAAAGAGTTGCAAGTTTTGGCATGATTTACAAGCAGGTCATACACAGGTGTATCACTGAGAATCCTCTCCAGGAGTACAAACACTCACCCCAGGAAACAGTCCACATCATTAAGCCACTGAGTAATGAAGTGATTGGTGACAGGCTCCACATTATTGGGGAAACGAAGATTTTCCAGCGTGTTTAATAGTAAATGAGGATTGTAATACAAAGCAGCTATGGCAACCTGGAGGCACATGGTTCTCAATTCACTGGTTTTCACTTCTCTGGTCAGTCTCTCCAAGGCAGCTTCCACAAACAAGGGTATGCACTGGACAGTGAGAGCATTACACACTCAGTGATCAAAAATAAAACTTGGCCTTCTGTACTGCAACAGTGTGGCACAAACACAGATGGCATCAAATTGAGTCATTTTTAATTGACAGCAGAAGTCAGATACAAAGATGAAATGAAAATGTGGAAATATTTAATCGCATAGATTTTGTGACATCCTGCACAGCAAATGTGACTTCTGGTTCTATAATCTTGTGTACTAAAAACGGAAAATAGAGAAAATGTGTACACTACGAAGTCCAGAAAAATCAACTTATTCATCTCTCAAATTCCAACTGCCATATGTGCATAATGAAGTCCCTGGTCCCTCTATTACATTGATTTGGATTCTAGGAACTTCATTTTCATTCCTCATTATTTCAAAGCTATGAGCTTTGAAATAATTCTATCTTGAGATAGAATAATTTTCATTAAATATTCACTAGAATTAACTTAGAACACAATTAATTGACTTTTTGGAACCAAGATGCTCCTGAGGTGGCACTCTTCCAGACTCATGAAAACACCAGAGTTTTGCAGAGTCCTAAATTCTGGAGCCAAGGTGTGCAGGAACTCTCTGCTGTGCTGTCAATGAGTAACCACATGAACTGCTCATAACAAAACTCATCTTAATACATAATCAATTCATATTACATAATTAACTATTTTAAAAATTTTAGCCACCAAAGTTGTTACCAACCTGATCAATGCCACGCCCTTTACACTGAAGAATAATTACTTCTAACAGCTTTGCTGCATGACATTCTGCATCTTCTCCAGCAACTCCTGTAAGGACCTGAAGCACAAACATTACTGGTGGTGTATCCCCTTAGGGAATATTCTCTATAGACTGCTTTGCTTTGAAAAGCTGGGATGAATTTCCCCCCTTTTAACAATGCCAGCGTGAACAGCCATCAGTGAAGCAGCAGATCCACAGCAAAGGCTCAGTGTGACAACCAGAGATTGCAAACTGTGGAAAGTGGGCAAAGCTAACCTACATGTACAAATATTCGAGATCTCTATGGATGCTGAGCCTAGCACAGTTACTGTGAAAGGTCAGCTGCCCTTTTGCCAAGGGTTATTTCCATACACAAAAGAAAAACTTTCCTTATGCATTAATGTACTGAATAAAAATGGGATAGCCAGTGGAAGACCATGCAATACCTAAAACTTGTGTTAAAAATTCACTGTGCTCAGCTAACACCAATCACTAAGAGGTCATGACAAGCTAGTTTTATATATAACATTCCAAGAAATTACAAACACTCCAATTGGCCTGGTTGCAACTTCTTTTCAAACAAAGGCTGGCAAGAATTATTCACTAGTATTTATAGAATACTAAAATAATGATTCACTGTAATATTTTAACATCTTCAAAAGAATTACTCAGGAAATAGCATGGGCAGCACAGCTGACAGCTCACCAAAGCTCTTACATAGACACCACACCCCAAAACCAGGAGTGGAAAACTGAAATCCCCACATGTTACTATTAGAGGTGATAAAACTTTAACACACACCTTATAAAAAAGTATTCCTTTTCTCACATGTGCTAACACTCTGGAAAGCTGCATATTCTACATTTTGACTGGACAAAGAAAGCCCAGTAATACAAAATAGAAACCCTGACCACAAGTGTCTGGACTGAGTCAGACCAACTGCATTCTGCTCCCAGCTTTCACCACTGACGTGGCACAAATTTGGGAAAATATCTTTCTGTTCCTTTACCTCCATCCCTACACCACTTATTTAACTAACAGGTGTCAGACCTTCAGCACACATACAGCACATGTGAGGCTACAAATCCCAGATTAAAGAATCCACCTACCTTTTGCAATCTGTCCTGCATGCCCATAAGCACAAAAGTATATTGTTTATTCTGCTTTTGTTGTGTGTGATTTATTTTTCCCTTCTGCCAAAGGAATATATCTGAAATTTTGATGCAATCTCTTTAAATTTCTCTGCAATAACTTAATAATTTGGGCTTAGATTAGAAAGCAAAATGCTTTGAAAAGCAGATGTCAAAATCTGCTGTGGAAAAAAATACCCAGTTTAACACTATTACTTCTTCAGAGATGGCAGGTTTTGTTACCACACAGGAACCTACTCACCTTCTTGCACATACTGTAGATCATTTCAAGGTATTTTGTGTCTGACAGAAGTGTATCTGTATCAACAGTAACATAATTATGCAAGAGAGGCATCATATCTGTATTAAAAAGAAGGATGATCACAGTTAGGTATTGTCTGCGTGCTATTAAAATCAGGTTGAAATCTGTGTATTAATAATTACAGTTCTTGCTTAATGTTTGCCAAGGTAAGTGTGTGCAAGTCACAGGTGCCTTAGAAAAACAAGTCTGGTAGCAGCAACAGCAAAATAAAAATACTTCAAAAGTGTAACCTCACTGAAGTGTTTTCTTAACATTTCAGTCATGATACAACTAACTGTATGGCTGAAATTGCATCCATGGAACCATTTGATTTATATTACTTACCAGTAAAATAATCAAACCCATCCTGCTGGAAGACTTCAAACACAAGAGGAAGAAGCTGCCACATTTGTGCAGAAACCTGTTGGCAGGTCAGACTATGAGCCAAGGAAAAGATCTCCTCGTAGAATTCTAAAACAAACAGAATCTAGGTAAATATCATACCAATCCCATGCACTTTTAAAAGTAAGCCAGCAGAAGTACAGATACCTAATACATGCTGCTGCAAAACTGTTCCAATCACTTGCAAACAGATCCCTTCCAGCTGCTGGGTAATCTGAAAAAAAAAATTGAAAATGACAGGTAATGACTATTTTCAATACTTCAGAGTTGAAATTAAACACATTTTTAAATTTGTAAAAGCAGTTTCTATATATACACAATATAGCTTTTAAAAACGATTAGAAATGTTTCACATTTTAGAGCACTGAATGTGTAAGAGCAGCACTCAGCTAAGGATTTGTGAGATAGCTTTCAACACAAGGTGTTTTTTGATTATTGGAAGAATCTCATTATAGGGTATCCTGACTAACCCTATGCACCAGGTCAGTCCCATTAAAAAACTGTAAGCAAATATATATATATCAAAGGAGTATACAATGGAAATCACAGGAGAGATTTCCTGTTCCAGAAAAGAAATTAAAAACAAAACAAAAAAAACACAACACAAGAAAACCACCAACAACAAAACAAAAAAAAAACCAAAAAACCCAACAAAACAGAACAAAACAAAAAATCCCAAATACCAAACCACTTCCCAAACCTAGCTTAGGATGTTCATATGATATGGAGACCATCAGTTTAAATGCTGGTCCTACAGATTCAGTCAGTGTTCCCAATTACTATGGAATAGCTAACAAAACAGTTATTAGCCTGTTGAGGGCACTCATCTTGCACAGGGACAAGTAAAGGCTGAGTTTTTGGTCTTAGCTATGCAGAACAAGATTTGAAACTAACCTGCTAAATACCTCATCTCTT